CCAAATTATCAATTCAATAGTGAGTCAGGGTTTTTTTCAATTAGGTTTAAAACATTTCAATGGAATTCTGGCAGTAGTTTGGGAATTGATAAGGCCTGACTAATTTAGTTGCAAAAAGGTATGGCTGATCTGATCGGACTGATGTTAAGATTACTAATTCACATAGTTTGCAAATACTGGTTACCTTCTATTTAGCACAATATTTCCAAGTTTTAAGTCTCTGTGTACTATGTTTCTCTGTGAGGAAAAAAGCAATCTTTTAATATAGAACACTGGAGTCAAACTATGAGTATCTAACTATTGGCTAAAACAATTACAGCATTAATGTTAAGAATCTAGTTCAGTTTGCACTTGTTTCTTAAAAGGGCCATTTTATGTTCTATTCATAGGAGGATAAAAAAAGGAAAACAAAATGAGTCCTTTACAACCAAAACCAAATAAATCAAAAGGGCTAATCATAACAATGAAAGTATCACAAAAATTTAATGACAACTCCAAGTAAAAATAAGCAAACTGCCTGATGTGCAGGAGAGGTCAAGCAACTGAATCTCAGGTTTAGGTTTACACCTGAGGGCAACTAAAACAGAAATGACTTAACCTAATCACTTTCCCTTTTGAGTTTATCAATTGCTGTCAGTTTGCCTATGCATTCAAAGGAATCTCTTGTAACAAAGTACATTTATAGATGTATATGCACATATTACTTGTAGACCAATTTTTATTAAGCCTATAACTCCCAAGATCTGACTACTTATTCTCCCCTCAAGCTGCTACACTTTTCATTGTGAATCAGTTAGGAGAATTTGGTATTAGATATAGGTAACAACTTCAACCTGATAAATTTGAGTAACTTCTCATCACCTGTTTGTTGGATAATGAATGGAGATTGTAGGGAGAAGTTACATGTTTGTCAGTTCTGGGAGTTAAAGGGTTAAACCTTTAACATTTTCACTCCCAAGACCCCATTAGTGGTTCTCTGCACCATCTGCCATGCAATCCTTATGATGTTAGTTAGTTCTCAGAAGTTGGTATTGGATCATCTAATGATCTCTCTATCAATATTTTTCTTTATTCTCATTGCTTGCTTGCTTGATATTGTATTGATATCGAGAGAAGAAATTCTCGCTTGGTCTCTTGTGGGAGTTAAATGGTTTATGGCTACTTTCAGGGGTGTTAGAGTTAGGATACAATGTACCACAAAAATAGTATTCAATATTTTGTGGAAATTAACTTAATATATAGATTTAGCCAAGCCTAAAAGCAGAACTCGCATTTTTTTCCCACATGTCTCTTCAACAAAACTATGGATAACATGCATGTATCAATGGATTTTCATTTGCAACTTCTCCATGTCCATGTAGAGAACTGATTCTATTATAGATGCTATAAGGTTAAATGTTTAAGTCAGTAGGCAATTTTTGGAGGTCTCCATAAAAAAAACTTGCAGCAAGAGGTTGAAAATTTTCAAAAACAGGCAAGAAAATTGTGCTAACTGTTAAAAAGTTTTCCCAACAATATGCAACAAGAAAATGTAAATTAATCTCGAACCCAGAGAATGCGTGCTACAAGCTCCAATGGTGTTGACATGCCTGTGGTACAGTTGGCTGCGCATGCAAGAAGTAGCACCTTGTATGTACAGTTGTATGGTTGTAAGTCCAAAATTTTTTTGGCTTGATGGGTTACTACTATTTCGTATAATTATTGGGCTACACTGCGCGTGCTGCAAGCTCCACTATAAATAACTTGCAAACCGATGATATATTACTCTTAGTCAGAATGTATCCTTACAATATAAATACAACATCAAGCAGGAAAGTGATGAGAAAAAGGAAATAATATATCAATTAGGGGATTGCAAGTGAAATGTATTAACCCTTTAATCCCTAACATCAGTAGGCATATTCTCCATACTGTTTTCTAGACATTTCCTATGATATTGACAAGGAGAATTTGTTTAACAATCAAGATCCTCTTTAGTTGGTGATCATTCCTTTATTCTCATGGCCTTAATCAGCAATTCAGGGGTTATATTGTAATGAGAAATAAGATGCTAGTCACTCTTAGGAGTTAAAAGGTTAAGTGGCCACTCATGGGGAATGGTGGGGTAACTGCTTACTAAAGGCTGGCTGTTAAATACAGGCTCCACAAACGAGGGGTAAAATTAAAAATGACAGAAAACCCGACCATTTATGCCATAATTGGCCAGTTAGAGTAAAAACATGTGCTCAAAAATACTACTAGCACTGATTTTGAGAGAGGATTAAATTTTACTTGAAAGATTATTCTTAGTTTTATTTGAGTGGTTCTTCTTTAAACCTTTAACTCCCAGAAGTAATTAACATAAAACTTCTCCCTACAATATCCATACAATCTTCAGCAAACAGGTAATGAGAATATTCAAACTTATCAAGTAGAAGCTGCTATCTTGATCTAGCACCAAGTTCTCATAACTAATTTACAAGGAAATGTGTAGCAGCTACAGGAGAGAATTAACAATCAGATCTTGGGAGTTAAAGGGTTAAGTGAATGTTTAGTACAGGTGAAATACAATACAAATCCACTGCTGGGACTCACTCAAAGGTGACTGCAATTGTACAATAGAGGTGACTGCTCAATTAAGGTGAACATTACAGTGATTAAGGTGAAACAAATTCAGAACCTTGACCGCTGATTGCTTTATAGAGTGTGGCTTGATACAGGTTTGACTTATCCAATACCAAATTCTCCAAACAATTATTGTAAAATTTGTATGGCAAACAATAAAGGAAATTACTGACGAGATCTTGGGAGTGAAAGGGTGACAAGTGCAGGAAAGTGAAGGAAAGTTCACATGTCAGCCCAGCTACTAAAGCTTAACTAACATTCAATGAACAACCCACAAAAGCCTGTTTCCAAAACTTCAAAATTATATGTTAAACAACAGATCTCAGTGTAAGGCTTTAAGACATTTGCGGTTTACTCCCCAGGGTTTTGTTAATTGTTTTACACCGGATCTTAAAATATGCATAACCTTGGCCTGGAATAGAAAGAAAACCACTTTTTACCTGAAAGGTACAATACAACCCTGCCAACAGCTGAAAGAGTAGGCAGGGTAACTTGCCTCCATAGGGCAAAATGTCAACCTTATCTTTCCAGAGTTAAACAGCCCACTCATTTAAATTCATTTCTTATTCTATTCAATACTAATTTACTGCAATTCTACCAAGCAGAGACCCCAAAATATTTCCATTTCCTGAATGTTATTTTAAAAATATTTCATTTTCTGTTTGAGCACATTTTCAGGAAGGTTAAGTGTTAGATGATTGATTTAATCAATAGTCAGATCTTCTGTCACAATTCTATCCTTGAACTAAAAGCAGTTAATACATTTCGCCCACACCTCCACGTTTCATTGAGCACAATGGACCCTTACAACGTACGCTCTCAGCACCACTGAGTGGCGTGGGAGTGAAGCTCACAGATTTGCTGCTATACTAGCTTGGACTCTCTTCGACGCCTCCGTAGATTGTAAGCTTGTTTTCTAAGGTTTTTTGTTGAGATCGCTTAGGAAAATATTTTACAAGTCGCGTATTACTGAAACCGGAAACGGTCAAATTGTCATCGCTGTGACCTTAATGGGATATTGTAGGCGCAAGACGCTCTGAAATGCCAAGCATTTACCTGTTAAATAAGTTAGTAGCCCTTTAATCGATAATTCAAGAAAATAATTCCACTCAGACTACAGAGGAAATTCCGTGATTAGAATACTTATTTAAACCCACGCAAAAAATTTCTCTTAGTTGAACACGAAAATACATGCGAAAATGCAAGCAGAGCCTCCACGAATTATTAAAGATTTGAATGAAAAAAAAAATCTTTGAATTGGAAATGATAAAATTACTGTTAAAAAAAAACAGTTAAGTAGGACCAAAATTAACTTCACTTCGATCAATGATAATTGAAGAGGGACTTCGAGCCTCCGATTGAAATAGTAAACAGATTGAAAGCTTTTCCTGGATGAAAAAAAAAAAAAAAAACTCATACCATAACAAACCATTACCAAATATCCATTCGCTCTGTATCCTTACCTTATGTAAACACTCCACTACTCTGACGATGTCGTGGAAAATTATAATTGTTTCTCTTTCGGATAACCGTTTCTCTCGTATCACGTAATGTTGAAGGTTTATGAGGTCCGCTGTTTCCGAACTAAAGTCGTGGGCACAAAGGCAATCCAAAACTAAACACAGACGATGTCGGATTCTAAATTGTCTTGCACACGCATTTTGAGAGCGATGGCTTGCCGCTGAGTTCGCAGAATCTTTTTCAAGCGGTACTTCTTCGTAATATTCGTCTTTGAAAAGTCCATGGTGATGCACAACGCCATCTTGATCGTTTAAGAGAGAGAGCAGTGAATACTCAGTGTGTAACAACATTTTTCCTTGTTTGTCGTCGTAACTTTCGCGTCCTGGATCTGCTAGGGTTAGAATTTTGATTGAATAAAAGTCATCTGTACCTTCCTTTTTGGCTAAACACTGAACAATGCTACGGACGGGCGAGTTGCCCAACCTTGGCCCAAGTAAGTACGGACCAGCGCGCTTCAGCGTTCCGCGATTCGAAGCTCTAATGAAAGCTCTTCTCGAACTCAGTGGTGAACTTGAGTTTGAAGTTGATGAGGACGATTCTCCACTTTCAAGGCAAGACGCCTTTCTTTTCACTCCTGATGATCCTGAGCCGCTGGATCGCATAGTGTACCATGTAAACAGAAATGGGAAGGGAATTTAAGAAAGCTATGTCGGTGGCTTGCCAAGTGTGAAATGTTGCGCACGGAAGTTAAATCCATTCAAACAAAAAATTAGTGCCCAGGCTTTCTAGTACAAGATGATCTGTATCAAAACTGGAACGAGATGAAATCTATCGAGTAAGATTTCGGAGAAATTAGCGTTTTCCACCAATTTTATTTATTTTTTATCGGATTATGCTTGTATCCGAAAGATTTCTTGAATAATCTCCATATATTTAAAAGTAAAATTCGATGTTGAAAGCTACCATTCAAAGCCACTGTTGCCATGGTGAAGACGCTACACGTGCATCAACCAAAATACAATCAAAATGGCTGCGGTTCTCCATCGAACTCCAGATGTTGCAGGTAAAATATTGTCTACTATGCTTCATTATTATTTCTTTTTAGAAAATTTATAGCTGGAAATGAACCTACAACAAAATGATTAATGCTACCTAACGATAAAAGCAAAAAAAATGTTTTTCTGATCAAGACAAAATCAAACATAGACTAAATAATTTTAAAAGCTTCGATTTAAGATTGACAAGAACTGAATAATCAATATTAGCCTTTTCCTACTTGGAATTTAATTCGATCAAGCAGACTACATATTTAATTGAGTTATATCTACCCCACTTAAATAATAATATCACGATTAGCCAATTACATGAGGAAATCTTGGCTAAGGTGAGAAAAATTAGTCCATGAATATTCGAACGGATATGGTGAACAGTTCTTGGGAATGCTGCCGAAAGTGGGTATTAGATCAAGGACTATTGGGTCAATATAAACATCTGTACAATGCCCATAACGTTACCTGGTGTATGCCGCGAGTTAAGTTGCATGTTATGATTGATTTCTTAGGCATGGATGTACCTTTAAAGAACCCAGTTATAAAACCATATTACCGAGATGGCTTCGGCAGTAAGTCAATAGGGGAGCCAGAGTGGAGGCCACATCCCAGAAACGCTCTCTCTGTGCCTGGTAGACTTGATAACACCGCAAAGTAAGTTAACGTGAATGATCATCAAACATATACTTTTTCGAAGAATTGGGATTTCTAAGCAAGATCATCAGGTATCTAGTTTGTGACCTTATCAACAAGATTTTGATAATGGGCTGAAATTAGGTGCTCTAAGATACCAATTTCAAGCTCTCAAATTAAAGCAAAATTACTTACGTGTTTTTATGGTACTTACTTAGCATGTATCCGGTTACATGCATTCACGTTTGTAAAAAAAAAAGAAAGAAAAATTGTTTGATGACCACCAACTTGAAGATGGCCGAAGTATTGGCTGGCCCAAGTAATCTGCAATGTACTCAATATATTTTTCAGGTCTTAAGCATTTTTTTCACCTTGTGATTATAAATGACAATTAAACATTTTGTTATATTTACAATACTCCTGAATCACATTCACTTCAAGTATAAAATGTAGTGTTAAACATTTCATTTAGTTTTGCATTGATATGGTTTCTTTAGAGGGGGCAATGGTCTTGACTGGACTTCGAGTATTCGTTGTGCACCTTTAGAGGAAGCAAGACAAACATCACGCAGGCCAAGCGAGGAAGCCCCACCATACTACAGTGTGAAAAACAGTGTCAAGTCTACATCCAGGGAGGAGGGTGAGGCTTCAACTATATACACACTTTACATAAAACTTGCATAATTTCAACAAAAATTTAAGAGTAGTGGTGTTAAACATAGGTAACCCCTGGGTTCAAACCATTTAGCCCACTTATTCAATCAGTTACAAAGTGAATGAATGAACAAATTATTGAATAATGAATACAGATGACATATGATCAGGACTGTTCAGCCCTTGTTAAAGTGAAGTCTTCTTTGGTAAGAATTTGTTTTGAAATTTACTGTGTCAACTGATGATAAGTGTTAACTTGGTTTTGTACATCCATGTATTCAGTGCTGGTCTCATGATAGTTGTGGTTCATTGTGTTTCATTTTAGCAGCCCAAGCATCCCACACAGACAATATAGAGGAAGAGAAACCCTATAGTGTCAAGCCTACAGTTGTATATGACACATATGATGATTTTGAACAAATTTATTTGAGAAGACCACTGGAGATATCTCTAAGAATGTCTGTTGGGGCAAAGAAATCAGGTATGCCTTCCAGGATATTCAACAGGTGTATGTAATATTTGTCTTAAAAATATGAGTGTAATTACCTAACATCAGTTTCCATATTCTTTATACTCTTCTCTTCTTCCTTTCGTAATGACCAGAATAATTTCTTCATCAATCAAAGCTTCTTATGTTGGGAATCATTTTTTTATATTCTTGTAATCTAAGTGAATGATCCAGCAGTATTACTGTAAGGAGAAATTAGAGGCTGAGGAATTGTAGGGTTTGAAGGATTACAGGGTTACATGGGTTATATGATTGTTATACATAAATTTGGGATTCAGCTCAGTTTTATCCAAAGAATTGTATTTGGTTACGATACATGTAGGAATCAATTTTTAACCACAGAGTGAAAAAAAGAGTAAGAAGGCTTTTCCATTTTAGGGACTTTTGTAAGGTTCTAATCTTCTTCAGTTTAACTCTTTCCACCCTAACATCAGTATGGATATACTCCATACTGTTTTCTATACCTTTCCTAAGGTGCTGACAAGGATAATTTGTTTATCAATGGAGAGAATATTTATTTGATGATCATTTCCTATATTCTTGTGACCTTACTTTGTCATGGTGGGGTTATATTGTTGGAAGAGATAAGATGCTAGTCACTCTCAGGGGTTAAAGGGTTAAAGATCATATGACACTGTAACTCCTTATCATTATGAATGAAAGTGATCCTCGCAGTGATGTGCACTACTTAGGCAGTAGTGAAAATAAGGCCTGAAAAAAATTTCAGGCTTGTACGGGATTTGAACCCATGACCTCTGCGATACCGGTGCAGCGCTCTACCAACTGAGCTAACAAGCCAACTGGGAGCTGGATCATTAGAACCACCATCATGACCAGCTCCCAGTTGGCTTGTTAGCTTAGTTGGTAGAGCGCTGCACCGGTATCGCAGAGGTCATGGGTTCAAATCCCGTACAGGCCTGAAATTTTTTTCAGGCCTTATTTTCACTACTGCCTAAGTAGTGCACATCACTGCGAGGATCACTTTCATTCATGTCTTTATCCGCAGTTCAAATATATGACTTTCATATATTCTTAACCGTATATCCTTATCATTATGTTTATTAACCTTTATTGCAAACTCAATGCCAAAAAAAAAAAATGCAATAAAAAATCCAGCCTTCTTTTTTTATTTTTATCAATTATATATTTGTTAAATAAATTTTCAATATATATTTCATACAAATCCTGATTAATTATTACATCCTCTTAGTATTTGAACAAAGAAATGGTATCCCTGCAGCCTCACTAGGAGATAAGAGTTACCAGGTCCCAGAATACTCATCTGACTTCCATAAGCAGGGAAGTACAAGGCCTGTTGTTAACTTTGGGTGAGTACAAACATAGTTATGTGGATTTATTTATTTATAATTATAGGCTTGTGCCAGATAAAAATGGTTCTGCAAAGTGTGCATACAATGTACACATCTATTTTGTCAGTGGATCAGACCCAATTGAATGCAACTTGACAATATTTACCTTTTGTGAACCAAACTTATAATAAATAAACTCAAAAATTGAAAAAAAAATTAAGGTGACTTCTTGGGAAGTTATATTTAAATCACACTTGTTTAACATTTTTTTTTTTTAATTAGAGGTTCTCTAAAATATGTTCCAGACACCTTTGTTCCTCTTCAAGATTTGCCATCTAGACCAAGGTAAGTTATAGGATGAAATAAAAACATGATTCAGTTATGATAATTTTGAGATTGTTTCATCAAATCAAACTTAATAGTTTACTACATATGATACCTAAATGTACATGCTCCTTCATCTTGTTTTATCTTCAAGAACCACTTTTGAAGAAAGACAGAAGAGAAAGGCAAAGAAAGAGGAAATTGAGGAGGTTAAAAATTTAGATCATTGGAGACCAGCTGATTTCCTATCACCTGTGTTGCAGCTTCCTGAATCACATGGATGACATACAGCAACCAAGAGTTAGCCTTAGAATCAAATTTCTACAACTGTAGCTGATAATGTAAGGTCAGGCTATTCCCTTTAAAACTTTAGTTATTGCCTTTAGCACAGTAGGGAATTAATGCAAATTAGTGGAGAGCAAAGCATAAATTGATAATTGATATTCCACCCAAAAGTGAACTCTGACTGGCCTGTTCTTCTAAACACCAGGTTACAAATGATAAAGGCAATCACTTGTTTCCGTGCATTAGTCTCTGAATTATTCATCCCATGGTAAGGATTAACTGTTTTTGGACAAATGCTCTTCTGTAAATATACTTCATGGTAATGATACAAAAAGGAGACAGTTCAAGAAATCATTTGCTCTACTAAATATATGGAAAGTGTACTTCTAGACCAAGGACAATACCAAAATTAGGAGGGCTTTTTTGTCACCAATTTGTCACAAACTGCAGTTCAAGATTTATTAATTAATACATATTTAAATATTTTTGCTTTGCATTAAATCTGGGGCCGCAGGGTGGAAGTAATGTTGTAGGACCAGCTTTGCACAGTGGTGTACAAAACTTTCAGTTTAAATTCATAAAGATATCAATTCAAAAAACCTTTCCAAAAGATGGATAAAAAGGAGGTCTAATACCTTATTGCCTTCTATTTTTGATAAAAGACCTGTTTTTAAATATTTTGTTGTTGTATAGTTCATATTTGATCCTGTACATATATTTTCAATGCACATAGTATTTGCTAAGAAAATGCTATTTTTTAATACTGAACCACCATGTAAAAAATTAGAATTTTTATATGAGATTAAAAAAGTAAAAGTTGTCTGAAAATTTTGCGATAATTTGATTTAGGATTATTTTACTCATCATGGGTGAAGGCATGCTCTGTACTAGCAAAACTCATCCCCTATAAAAGACCCCAATATAGTTTTTTGAGACAGTTGAAATTTTCTGGACCATTTGTGTACTATTGGACTCAACTGTATTTAATTTCTTGCAATGTTATTTCACAGAAATGAAAAAGGACACAATGACAGTAAATCTATGTGAGCTGCATCAATGTCCAAATTTTAGTGGTTGGGAGAAATATGGAAGGAATTTATTGGTTGGGAGAAATATGAGAAAACCTTGAGAACCAGGAAGGAGTCACAGCTCTGCAACATTAAATCTAAGGATCATAGGCAAGCTTATCTTGTACATCATTTCCCTTTCCCCGCCAGAGTGTCAATACTGATTTTCCAAAGATTTAGAACTGGAGATTCATCCTTTAAAGATAGGGGAGGGAGAGGGAACGCATTAAGAGGTATTTGCATGGTTATTTGTATTGCTGCTCAAAATTAACCTTCAAATTAAACAAATCTTTAAAAAAAATGTTCAAGTGACCAGCAGTAATTATTACAGGTAAGAGACCACTTTTCTAATATACATCATTACAGAAATTATATACAAGTTTACAATGTAACAAATCTGTTTATCTGAAGAATTTGTTTCAACTTTAACTGAATGAGACTTCTTCTTAAATCACAGTACAAATATGATTTCAATTGTCTGGATATCAGAATAAATATTGAATAGGACATGAATAAAAATTTTACATCCAAATTTCAGTCAACAGTGAAAACTATTTTTCCAAATTTTCTCAATTCTGGGTAAGCATTGTAATAAAATATATCCTCTCAAAATGAATGCTCTTCAAAAATTTGATAAAATTTGTCCAATGACAAAAAAACACAAGATGCTCTCTAAATGCTTAATGCATCATCTAATCTTCTGCAGATTTCCTGAAAAAGAATGAAATAAGACTTGAATTTTACTTGATAAATTCAATTCAAAAATATAAAACAAGCAAGCAGAATACACAAACAAAGATACAGTCTCAGTGCTACAAGGTGTGACTATTTAATTTGCCATGGTGAGTGGGAAGAAATTTTGACACTTGAGTTTGCTGTGAAAAGACCATTTAGGTGACAGTTGTTTGGTGGTCATGTGGCAAGTAATTTAGAATTTTCATCTGTTTTATAAAAGGTTTTTCGGCTGCTAAAATCTTTTCTCCACTGAGTATTTCATAGTGTGAGGTGGAACCGGCCACTTGATAAAAAGTTGAGTTTGGAGCTATGAGTCTGTTAGTGAAAAAAGTTCAATACCTCTTATAAGCAACTACAGATATCAAATATATTAGATGGATCAATTTCTTCATAAGAGTAGGATATTTGGAAGGTTTTGGTTTTGAAAACAGGAACCTAATTAGGTGAGTACGAGCATAAGAGAATTCCAAAAGAATGTAAATCTGGCATTAACATGCAAGTACAGAAATAATGTTCTCTGCCAGGTTGCCTTACAGGTTGACACAATATCAATCACTCTGACAAAAAGCTAACGCTTGAAATATCAGCCTTTAAACTCTTCATTGTGGCCAATTTACAACTGACACAAACCTTATTGTTGTTGAAACTTAAATGGCTCATGTATGTTTGTGTTCTGAATACCTGTTACAGTGTTAAGAAGATTTGTGATATCTTCTGGGGTGTTCATATCTTTCCTCCTTCCTGCAGGAATATGGAGTTGGTAGTCTGGTCCATAGGCCAGGAAATACTGCAAAAGACATAATTTTTAAAATGGAAGTATTTACCTAACTATTAAGACAACCAAAGCAGATTTTGCCTTTGCCACAAGTGTTACCTCATGTTCTGGGATATCAAGTGACAACTGTTGATTGAGAGCCACACCAGTCAGATACGTCCAGCACTTTGCAGAATTCTTGACATTGTACCCACCTAAAAAATGAAAAATTCATGTCAGATAACATCTGAATGTAACACTGCTGCCTGGATTTAAGTTATCCCTGGACCATTTTCTTTATCATGTTGTAACATTTACCAGAAGTACAAAGACTTGGTATTTTTGATAGTTTTCATGGGACGATGAACACCTCTGGGTCCCCAAAGAGGACTGGCAGAAACCTCAGGCCTTCCACTTTCAAGGGGCCAGATGACATACCTCCTCCCAGTAATAACAAAGGCAAGTTCCATTCCATCAAGTATTTGATGCATTCTCCAATGCTATATTGAGTGAGGTTAAAAGAGGCCATAGGATCACCAGCTAGTGTATCAACTCCACACTGACAAACAACTGCGCTTGCCTTGAATCTCTTCTTAACTTCTGACATGACCCTACAAAATGCAATCAGAAAAAATTAAGAAATAAGAAAATTATAACAAATAGATATTAAATAAATGACAGAAAAAACAAATAAAGGAATACCATGACAAATTACCTTGAAAATATTTCTATGAAAGGCTTGTCAGTAATTCCATCCTTCAGGGGTACATTTACAGTGTAATACTTTCCTTTGCCTAAACCCACATCTTGACTTGCACCTGTACCTGCAAATACATGAAATATTTTAAAAAATGAAATTAAACAGTTCACTCTTTAATGTTTGCCAGCTTTTCACCCAACAAACAGAAGTATGCTCATACAGCTAAGTAGGAAGGACAGTGATGAACATAAACAAATAAAATTGTAGCATATTACCTGGGAAAAATCCTGGGGAAAATTTATGAAATGACACTGACATCACTTTTGAGGTAAAAGAAAAAGCATCCTCAACCCCTGCAAACAAAATTTGTAATGGATATTTTAGTAAAATAAAATATTTTGATGAGTAATGAAGAACCTTTGGAATATGCAAGCTACTTCTAAGCATTGATATTATACAAACCATCCCCATGGTGAAGATCAATGTCAACATAGAGAATCCTGTCAAACTTCTCTCTCAACTTTAAAATTCCTAAGACAACATCATTGATGTAGCAGAATCCAGATGCTTCATTCCTAGCAAGAAAAAAAGTTGTTCCTGAATTTCAAGCTAAAGAAACTGATTTTACTTTGATCTTTTGAATTTTATGGGCAGGACTTTGTCCTTTGATCCCTCTCTTGAATCTTCAAACCTTAAGAATGACTAGCATCTAATTTCTCCCTACAAATGTATCACCCTGAATCAAACATGAAGGTCATATGAATAGAGGTAACAATTACCAACTAAAACAACTCTAATTGTTAAACAAATTATCCTTGTCAGCACCTTAGAAATGATATGTAAAGATATACAATGAACAGTTTGGAGAATGTGTATAAAGGCTGATTCATCATTTTCCCTCTACTTCTGCTAAACAATCATTAGTAAGAAGTATTCATTTGGGAATTGAACATGGGACCCTCCCTAAGTGATAACTTTTTCTATTCTCATCACAGGTTTGTGGGATAACGTAGGGACATGGTAAGGACAAGGGTGAACCAACAACTTAAAATAAATATGTAATTATGCAGGGATGCTCAAAATAACAATTTACCTTGTTTGAAATTATTTTTTTTTGGTTATGGAGCTGGATTAGTTTTGTGGAAAAAAAGATTCTTACAACAGCCACACTTGTCACTATCATACAACATTTTCATTTTTCAAAAACAACAAATAGTAAAAATTATAAAAAAGCAAAAAAAAAAAAAAAAACCCTGAAAACTATGGTTACAACTTCAGAAATTTGCTCCTGACACCTTTGGGCATGATGCCAGCCTCCTTGCCAATTGATTGCTATGGAGCATTCCTGTTTGATTAACATCTCTGCAGCAGTGAGTGTACCGCCGGCAATAACGGACATGCAATCCAACAAATCTTCAAAGAGGGGACAGTCAAACCCTGGAGCAAAATAGAAATGAGTTGAAACAATGTTTCATCTTTCTCGTTACTATCAAAAGCACTCTTGTACAGTAACTACTGTTGCGTGGCTCTAAAAATAAGAGAGCACCCCTTCTAGACTAGATCTACTGCTGATCCCAAAACATCGACCATACACAATGTAAAGTATCAATTATTAATTTCTGACATACCTAAGCCATATTCACCAGCTGTTTCTTCCATTTCCTCATCATTGCAGTTACTTGAAAGCTTTTCTAAGCACTTAACATAGTCCAAAGAGTGAAATGCTGAAAGCTCATGTGCTGAGGCTTGCCGAGGTTTAACAACTCTATCAAAAAGTTGACATTCTTGTAAGTGTAACAACTAGTACAGTGTAAATATGTATTTGTGCGTTACACAAATCAAAACAGCAATTACAAATTCTGCTTATTTGAATAATTTGTGGAAAAAAATTGCTAAACATGTTGGAAATTTAGGTCTACATGCTGATAACAAACTCTTTTACCAGATAAGCTTCAAGCTATACAACTCCTCCAACCCCTCCTCACTAAAAAACTCAGCCTACAGTTCATAATCTCTAACCAGAATGGCTAAATTGTCCATCTAATCAAAGGGATACGTCATTGCAATTAGGCAATGCATGTACAGATATTTAAAGACC